TTTTACTTGGGAGAAGAGAACGACACTCACCTTGCTACAACCTCTTTTCAGGTAGCTGTAGAGAGTGAGAAGGTCTCCCCTCAGCCTCCTTTTCTCCAGGCTAAACAACCCCAGTTCCCTCAGCCGCTCCTCATAAGACTTGTGCTCTAGACCCTTCATCAGCTTTGTTGCTCTTCTCTGGACACACTCCAGCATCTCAATGTCCTTCTTGTAGTGAGGGGCCCAAATCTGAACACAGCACTCGAGGTGCCGCCTCACCAGTGCCCAGTACAGGAGGACGATCACTTCCCCACTCCTGCTGGCCACACTATTTCTGGTACAGGCCAGGATGTTCTTGGCGTTCTTGGCCACCTGGGCACACTGCTGGCTCATGTTCAGCCGGCTGTTGATAAACACCCCCAGGTCCTTTTCTGTTGGGCAGCTTTCCAGCCACTCCTCCCCAAGCCTGTGGTGTTGCATGGGGTTGTTGTGACCCAAGTGCAGGACCCAGCACTTGGCCTTGTTGAATCTCATACAGTTGGCCTCTGCCCATCAAATCCAGCCTGTCCAGGTCCCTCTGGGATTCCTTCAGAACCTCTAGGATTTATGCCTGTCTCATGCTACTGAGAACTGGTCCTTGGCCCATAGTTGACAAAGAAGCAGCTAGCTTATTAAGTATTTCTTTCATTTGTGCAATGACGTTAGTCGCAGCTGGATTCATTCATCCAGTTCAAGGACATGGAGTGTTTGCAGATGATGTCTGTGGGAAATCAATAAATAAATCTTTTCCAAGAGCAAGGCAAGATTGTACCTAAACAGATTTTCTTGTGGAGGTTGTGAACTGCCTCTTTGGAGGATTTTATAAACAAATTGGACAGGTGTCTCTCAGAGGTGATTAAGGTGAAATCAAAGGGTGAGACTATAGGCTTAAATGATCCCTGAAGAATGCTCCGAGCTCTCAGTTTTTCATTTTTTGTAGTAACTGGTGGAGGTTCCTTAGATCCCAAACACTTCTGATGCTTAGATGTCTTGATAATTTTATGAATATGCAGAAAACCAAGCTCCTTATATTATTAGGATGCTTTACTCCGTTATTGTCTGATAAAAATACATTAATAGTTCTGGGTACAGGTGCCAGACTCTTCCACAGAGTCATGAAACCCTAGAAGCTGGCCTCTTCCCCTTCTCTTGTTTCACCCCACAAATGCCTCCTGTGCTGTGGGCTGCACTGTAGCTCCACTTGGACAGGAGCAGTGTTCCCATGCCAAACAACTTCTCATCTGTCTGGCAGGAAACTTTCCTGCTCATGGGTCAGACCAGAACTCCAAAAGTTTTGCTCTGCTCTGAGAACTAGGAACTAGAAAGTAATAATCATTTCCATTTGTGGTATCTACCTGATGGTAGTCTTTATTTGTGGTTGATATTCATGTGTCCTTCACACAGATCTCTCTTCCCTCCCTCCCTCACTCCACAGTAAGAAAAAACACATTAGTTTTCCGTGTACTTGGCCTTGCCAGGGGCTTGTCCTGTTGTTTGTGTTTGGGAATGTGAGTCTCATCCTATCATTAGAGTAATGAACCAGTTTTCAAATCCGCTGATTTCTATTTCTGCATGGCAGCTAATTGCATTATTAGGACAAGTCATGTAATATCAGCACTTCAGTTTTCTTAGCTGAGAAATGGCTAATACCTCACTGGGCAGCGAGGTAGGGCTAATTACACTTCTTGAAAATCAGAGTAATGAAGAGAGGGTCTCCAACAGAAGTGCTGTGAGACACAACCGGCTTTCTGCAGTATTGGGATTGCCAGTGGTTTCCCACAGCAACCAGCTTGTAGCCTGGGTGGCCGTTCTGTCCTGAGTCTCTCTTCAGCAAATCCAGTGGAGGTAAAGCAATGTTTTCTCTTCCCTCTGTGTAGGAAGCAGCAAATTCTTTCTGCCTGGATGCAGAAAGATCACTCTGTGCATTCCTTCTTTCCTGTGTACTCAAATGCTCACACACTGCATAAACACAAGCAACTATGAAATTTGGCTCCTCAGTTAAAAGCCGCACAAAAATACATAACATGTTACCTGTCTCCTTTAAACCAAATCAGTGCTGAGAAAGAAAAACAAGCCTTTTGAAATAACATGGAAAGCACACAGATTTACCACTTAGCAGTAGTTTGGATTTTCAGTAAAGGGGCTTTTATGGAAACTGGAACTGAGTTACCAGGAAGGTATTGGAAATGCACACACCTTGTTCCAGCATGTATAGTTTGTCACTGCTTCAGTATAGAGGTGACTTGCTAGTACTTAGTACTGATCATGCTTCTATTAAGGCAGCTGGGATAGCTCAACGCGCGACCATACAGCCGAGCTCTCTGTACTTACTCTGCCATGTCCATGCTGCCTACTGGGACCAATTCTGGCTCATGCATCCTGTGAACCATGTCTAGGAACTGCTTGGAAGAATTGTAGTTGGCACAGACCACAAGAAAATTGCAGAGTATGATAACTACTGTGTGGTAGCTGCCTGTGTTCAAGACTGTGCCCCATCCTGGTTTAGCTCCCTCCAGATGCACACTGCTGGAAGGAGCTGCTGGATCTGCCTGGAAGCCCAGCCAGTGTATTTCTCAGGTCTGATTTGAGTTCAGCGATGACTGAACCTGGGCCAGGGCCAGTCTCCAGAACTGGCTGGAAGAGGCAGGTCTGCAGCATAAGGCATTAGCCAGGAAAGGCTTTAATGCAGAAGGCAGGTCCTGGTCCTGTGTCACAACTTCCCTCCAGCTTCCCACATGCAGCACTCAGGGCAGAAAGACTGGGGAGGAGCTGTGCCACTGCACCGCACAGCAGTGCTGCTGAGGCAGGAGTGTTGAAAGACATAACCAAAGTGCCTTTGGACCTTCCTCTCTCAGTCCCACTCCATAGAAAATCCACCTGTGCATGCGCACACAGGCTCAAAACCACCCAGACCTGCAACTCTGTGTACAGAGACTCATAGACAGCCTTGTCAGGGGGAAGATGGCTGAGCTGGAGACTCACAAGACACCACCAGCTGTAACAGCAGCTGCTTTTGTTGGAAGATTGGGGACTGAAGATACGATCAGGCTCCTTCCACTTAGTTTTGGAGAGTTGCTTAGTTTAGGCAGGTGGAGAAAGGCCTTGCACTAAAACTAGTGGCTGTGGGCTGTGCAGAACAGCAGTGTGGCACTACAGTGCAGAAGTGAGGGTACATAGCATTGGCATCTCCAAGATGTGGTATGCACTGGAAAGGGAGAAGAGAATTGCAATTGCTCTGCAGATCCTTGCTGTGCAAGTGGCTCCTAGGCTTAGCACATCCCTGCCATGAGCTCTGGTTCTTTACCAGTAACCAGGAATACTTCTTGATATGTGCAGTCCAAGTTTAACAGAAACATAAAAATTAAATTTCAAGTCCCATACTCCAACAGAGAAAGTGTAATGTCTTGAACTGATTTTCAGCTAGAGTTTGGGTCCAGTGTGACTCATTGGGTTATAAATTATGCAACTTGTCAGCAGTCCTTTTCCCCACCAGCTCTGTGGCAGTCAGTGGCATCTCACCAGGGACACCATTCCAGCCTTCAGCTGCTCTGCTAGAGAATAGGATTTTACCTCCTGTAGGAGTTTCGCTTTGCTGCTCCTGCAGTAAATACCACAATCCAAATGGGCTTCCTTCGTGCTGATGGTGGGCTGTTCTTCTGCAGGAAGGAGCCAAGCTTCAGCCCATCCCAAAACCTTCTTTTCCCCAGCACACTAAAGGTGCTGAGCCTGTGGGATCTCCTGTAAATGCAGGTGTGGGAACAGATTTTCCCCTTTAGTTTACAACACTGGCACTTCCTAATGAAGTACAGCACTTATGTGTGGTAAACAGAAGTCTCACTGCCGATGTGCTCAGCTTATGCTTAGTTCTTGGTACCAAAATACTAATTAATAGACACCAGTTGTTCTTCTAAGAAACATAAATCAACACATATTTTACATCTACAAATAAATGCTGATTGGTAGAAACAGCCATACCAAAGAACACAAATAAACACCAGGAACTCTGTTTTTATGTCAGTAATTACTTTAAATGTGTGCTGTTGAATATAACATTTTGTGGTACAAATGGCTTTTCAACTATTGAAATCAGCTCCTGTTTCTCATTTCCAAATTTTTTAATATCCATTTCAGTGCCACTGGACAGTATTTCTCATGTAGTCTCCTAAGATTTCCCCTAGATGTTGTTAATTGCAGCATCCCTTCTTGGCTGATGTAAAAAACATTACTGAAATTTTAGGTTGTTTCTAACAGTGTCATTTTCAAAGAAAACACATTGGGTAAAAAAATGTGATATTTCTCATTTTGGAAAACAATATATAATTTCATTCCATTACTCCCCCCCTTGGAGCCACATAATGTTTCTGAGCAACATAGAAAGTAATGCATCCTTATAAGACATTAGGAACTGATACTTTGATTAAGCTGACCTTGTTTTGTGTGCTTCAGAAGAATTTTGGTGGACTGCTATAAAATCATTTGGGAAAATACCTGTGATTTTTGTATTTCTTGCTTACACACTGTAAAACATAAAGCCTTTCTCCTACTCTGCCATTAAGAGAGTTATAGCTGGACACTTGACTAAGAAAATTCATTAGAGAAGCTCGGTGATCAGAATATTGTGTCTGATATGAACATTCAAATAAAGAGAATGAATCTGTATTTGAAACTGATGGCAAACATCTCTCCTTGGTGTCTTGGATTTATGTACTGAAATTGTGGTTTTGTGAGCTGTCCAGCTCAGCAGTGTCATGGGCTTTGACTTAGGCAGGTTTGTGATGCCTTATATTTAAAGATGTTAGTGTGTTGGTTTTACTGAGAGGGAGAAGGACTTTTAGATCTTACTTTTCTAATAGGCAAAAATGAGAAGATATTGGCTAGAGACATGTTATGGTAAAGAATTGGAGTAAATTGAGTAGACTGGCTGAATGCTATTTTAGACCATCATATGAACGAGAACTTAAAATACTTTCTTCTGTTTGCAGGAATAGACAATCTCTATGAGAGGGCTCTTCACATCCGCAAACTCCTCCTTACTTTGCCCAGGTCGGTCCTTATAGTGATGAGATACCTCTTCGCCTTCCTCAATCAGTAAGTGCTTTATCATTCCCCAAGGTACTGTATCTTTATCTGCCTTCCTCTGCTGGTTTTGAAGTTCTTTGGGTTTATTCGTACTCTTATATACAATTTACATTTAAGCTCCATTCAACACAAAATATGATCTTCTAAATGGCAATGAAAATATGAATGAAAACACCAGTTTTCATTCATATTAAACTTATGTTTGTCCAAAACTGAGCAAGGTTGTAATAAGACAGATTGAAGTGTTGTCTGAAATGGGGAGTGCAGGCTACAGCATTAAAGCCAATAACAAAATAAGCTGATGAGAAAGATAACAAATACAAACTGTAATTACATTAAAAATAATTTACGAAATTTATAAGAATTTTTTTTTTTTCCTTATCTCAAGCTGATTTTAATCTCCTGACAGGAAAAATAAACAGTATGTTCAGGCAGCACAAGCAAGCTACCTATGTGATACTAGGCACTGCCAGGGTGAGACTTTGTTGCTGCTTCTACTTTCTGGTAATAGGGCTACCAGTATAGAGAACATACTTCCCCTGTGTATGCTTTCATATAAAGTGGCGTGGTTCTCACATTGCAAAACACAGGCAGCTGCTGCAAGGAGGTTTGTGTGATAAAGGGAAAGTGGTGTTCTGTCTTCATCGTTCCAGAAAAACTTCTTCATTTGCAAAGAGAAAATGAAAGTCAGGTTGGGCAATTGCACTGTGTTTCTCCCTCCAGTCCTTCATAGCCCTGTCTGGTTTTGCTGACCCCAGTATTTTCACTGCAAATTTTGCTTCTTGTATACTTTGACCTGATTCTAGTTTTTCTCTTTCTGCTGCCATATTGTCTGTTTCCTGTTATATCTGTTTTCATGTTGCCCTTTTCCTCTTTTTTTTTCTAAATTTTCCCTCTGCTGATTCATATTATCTTTGTGACCTTCCCCATTTCATCCATCCTGTCTGTTCCTATAGAAACAGGGTCTTTGCAGCCAGGTTATGTGTTTGTGCCTGTATTCACAGCTGTTCCTGTTTCCTTTCTTCTAGTAATTTCTGAGCCACTTTCAAGCAGTATTTAAAAGAGAGACAGAGATCTGAAGTTTTATGAAAATAACCATTAATTGAAAAGATTAATTCATCCCTCTATAGGGACACTTTGTAAATATCTCATAGGCTTATATCCCAGCTTCTCCTCTATTTAGACATACAAATCAGATAGAGTTATATGAGGTTGTACTTGTTACGTGGCCAGGTTAGCTACATCTGTGCTCTCCACAGGAATGCAATTCATAAAGCAGGCTAAATCTCATATACCTCCACACTGCTCCTGGTGCATCCACAGGAAAAACACTCCCATAGTCTGGAAAGGAAACCTTGCAAAATTGGTTAATAAGAACAATCAAAGTCTTTTGTTGGTTGCTTCCAAAATGAAACCCCTGTGGGAGTTTTTGGGCATTTAAGGTTTTTAGGTTGTATGGTAAAAACAGAAACCTGAGCCTTTGCAAGATCCAGGAGCTTCGCTACCTCCAGAAAACAATCCAGTCTGCCTAAGTTGTATAGCCGGTTGATGGGAGAGATGCATCAGGGTCTGATGAGAAATGATAAGCGCGATCCACTTTGGATCCAGTCCACTTGGGCCTCCAAGGATAAGCACTGATGAGATGGAAGCAGTAGCAGTTGATGCATTTTACATTAGCCCATTGAATCAGTGTACACTAAACACAATAGTGTAGGAACACATACATCTGCATACATCTATGTACTATAAACTCACTTTATAATGTTCATAGCCTATTGAAGAAGTCCTCTTTTTTTGTTTGTTGCTTTATGTGGGATTAAGTGTCAGGGAGAACAGGAAATTGTGATGGAAAATAAAGTTTCTCTAGTTTTCGGAATGAAGTTACTCACAGTGGAAAAGTCAATTTTTCGTGATTTTTCTGTTCTAACAGCCTTTCACAGTACAGTGATGAAAACATGATGGATCCATACAACCTGGCTATTTGTTTTGGGCCAACCCTGATGCCTGTTCCAGACATACAAGACCAAGTGTCTTGTCAGGCACATGTGAATGAGATAATCAAAACTATCATTATCCATCATGAGGCTATTTTTCCAGATGCTAAAGAACTTGACGGCCCAGTGTATGAAAAATGCATGGCTGGAGACGACTACTGGTAAGTCAGAATACTACTCTTCTATCTCCTTAACAAAATCATTAGACTGGTTGTCTGGATAACTCCTGCAATATGGAATTACTTTTGCACATAGTGGAAGCATGAAGATAAATAAGAGCATTTAGGTTCACATAGGAATGCATTAGCCATAAAAAACATGAAGCAAAGGCAATTACAATGAGGTTCCTTACAACATTTTGTGGAGGAAGCTACCCCTGTGTCCAGCCAGGTGCAGCCAGAATTCCAGGTGTGCTATGCAGAGCATGCATCCAGAAACTGGCTTTATGTCTGTGAACCGTCTTAACAAATTTCAGCTTATGATGCCTTCTCCCTGCTCCTTTCCTCTTTTAGTACCACACGCACCCTTTTCATAAATGGAAGGATTCAAAGGTTCTGGGAACATCTTAATAACTGAAGATGTTGTTTGAAGGAGATGTGTATTGTCTATAGGTATATTCAGTAATTGTATATTCGTAGCATGTTGCACAAAACTTTGTAACATTAGAAGAATAACTTTAAATAATCTCATGGGGGTGGCATGTTTTCTGTATGTGTGGAAGACATCTTTTACCCCCAGTGGACTGGGGAAGAAAGGGCCTGGGGTTTAATGCCCACTGAAGCATCATTTTCATGCTGTGGTTTCTCTCTCTGCTCGACCTTTTGTTTCCCTTCAGTGACAGCCCATACAGCGAACATGGTACATTAGAGGAAGTGGACCAGGATGCTAGCACAGAGCCCCACACCAGTGAAGACGGTATGTCTAGTACATTACTGGGCCTTTGACAGGAATAAGTTTTACAGGTGTTTCACGCAGGAGACCTTCTTCCTTTCCTAATTGTGTCTTACTTGAAGGAAGAGGATTTCAGTCCTGGTGGTCTGTAGCAAAGCCAGCTTCTTTAATCTCTGTTTGTGTGCTTTTTCACTCTGATTCATCTGTTTGACCAGCTGTTTCCGTGTTCTCTCCTGATTCGTTCAGTCACAGGAAGGGCAAGAGAGAAACTATTTCAGTCAGCACATATTATTTTCTGATATAATGTTACATTTTTAGTGACACTGTCTTTTGTCTGCAAAAGCTAAACTTATCAGAAGTATGTCTTTAAATATTTCAAGTACAGGATCAAGTGGGCTCTATTTTGATATGAATTTAAAAATTGTTCCATCTAAAGGTTTTATAACTACTGAAAAATATGTGTGTACAGAATCCAAAGTGAAAAAAGTTCAGAAGTTTCACTTTCCCCAAAGTCTTTAACTTTTTCACTTCCCCAAAGTGAAACTTATGAACAATAGTAATTTGCTATAAATATGAATCACATATACTCTGACAGTTCCAGGTACGATAGGTATCCATGAAAAATTTGGTGCATCTCTGTGAGATAAATTCTTTTTAGCCAGGTTTCCTAAAGGTGTATTTGACTGTGAAGTATTTCAGTTGGACCATCCTTTAGATGTCCCTCTGAGTAACTTCTGCCCAGTTTCAAGCAAATGTAACAAAGGGAA